ACATCTAAAAAGCAATCCCGAAGTCCCCAGTGTTAATGATCAACATTGATTACAAGGTGATTTTTCCAACAGAGAATCAGCTCACTAAAAAGGCATCTTGCTGTGCATATATAGCACATAGCAGTCTTTATTAAGGGATCAGCTGATTATTATTCTGCTACCGGCTTTTATTTTCTTCTTCTATTCCATCTCTGGCAGGAAGGCTGCATACAAATACAGCAATCGATTGAGAGGAGATGTTCTTCCTTTACGAGATTAATTACAAACATAGGGATGCTGTGTCTAGCCCGTGTGTATGATTGATCTTGTAGGAGGAAATGCAATAGGAAACTAATGCTTCCTTTTATCCAGTAAGCAAAGTTCAGAGATGTTTACATTCTGCTAGGTAAGCACAGCTGTCTAAAGACGTGAAGACGGATGGACTGTCCTGTCAGCACAAATTCATGCCGAAGTAACAGGCTACACCGTCCCTGCGGACCTCTCTCTGGCCAGGAGGCTGTAGGGCCAGAATCACCAATTTAGCAAACAGCTTAATTGTTTCACATTTTAATTAGCAGGGAGATCCGGGCAGAGCTGACGTGCTACGGGGGGAAGGTGTTGGTGGACCGTGCTGGTGGGGCTGTGGGATGAAGAGGAAGGCTCCTGGTGATGCTGAGCACGGGGCAGCCGTCGCAGGGCAGCTTTTCAGAAATTGCAAGGGCTTTTTCTTTAAAACCTGGCTGGTGTAAGGAGCGATCTGTGTATTCGCTCTCAGTAGCTCACAGCATGTGGCTGTGGAAGCATCTGCAAAAAGTGCAGCGCTTAGCTGCCCTTGTTTCTATTTGTATATAAACATAATCTTATGAGCCCTGGATTTGGCTCAGGGTCCTTCTGAAAAGGTTCATTTCATTCTTGGGCACAGGCTGGCACTTGTATTTAGGCTGAGAAACAGTGTCAGAGGTGACGGATCCAGCTAAGTGACTCAGCCTTCTTCCTCACGGTATTTTAAATAATGGATGTACTACTGCTGATATTTAACTCCTGCCAGAGCTGCTGAAATATATGGTGTGTTTAAAATACTGATACAGCATTGAATCTCTGCTCAAGCAGAGGAGGAGATCTCCACCTGGGATTGGTTTTCTCAAAAGGAAAAAGAAATCTGAGGGAGGAGGAGGAGGAGTGGGGAGCCCAAGCCATAATATCTTGTAACAAACAGTGTAAAAATGCCCTTCACCTGAGGCAGTAAAGCAGTCAGCTCTAGCAGCATGTTGACGGAGAAACCTGAAATCGATACTGCAGTCTGCGTTATATTTATACAAGCATATGCACTGCGCTGATGACGAAGGAGAGAAAGGGCTGTTCCCTGCGTTAAAATAATTAGTGTAATAAATACAGCCTGGTGAGCGCCAGAGGAAGTAGGGATCCCTTTGTTCACATCTCGCCACGTAGAGCTGGGTAAGCAAGTCTTGTGGAGTTAAGCTCAGAATTTACTTACCCTTTTATTCTCTGTCCAGAGGTCTCGAACAGGATGTTCTGCTGATGCCAGAATTAACAAGCGACACTGGATCTCTGCTGCCTCGAGCAACGTCGAGGATTTCGGGGGGTCTTTACTTTTTCTTCTTTCTATCATGCAAATCCTACCTGATAAACATGGATGCGTTTGCTGTTTAGCAGTCAGTTTCCTAGGCTTGACAAAGGTTATTGCAATAATTGGTGTTCCTCTTCTAATAATTAATGTTAATGAGTCCACTAAACAGTAAACAAGACAACAAAGAACTGTTAATGAGACAGTCTTTACTCATTTGTTTAATCTTTTAGTAAGATAATGGGCGATAAATATATCGCTATTCAGCCATCTTCAAGTCCTTAATGCGTGGAGAGTGTTTTAAAAAGAGATTTGAGCTGATTTTTTACACTTGCATTTAGTAAATTCGGCTGACTGGGTAGGTGGGGCGCCTGAAAGAATTGGGAGACCTATATAATTAAATGCCTTGACATTCTGCTTCTGAAGGACATTGGCGGATATCCAAATGCTATGTTCTGCTCTCAAACCATTTAATTGAAACCATACAAGGGGGGGGGGCAAAAGAGAGGGAAATCTTGGCAAAAACCTTATGTGCAGTTTTTCGCTATTGGATTGACCAGACAGGGCAACAAAGCTGATAAAACAGGATTAGCAAAATTGCATTGTTGGATATTATATGCTGTGTGACATGTACTACAGCAAAGGAATTTGGCAGGATTAACCTGCAGAGGATAAAGATGTACCAGACAAGAGGGCTGAATTAATAGACTGCTGTGAAAGCAAGGAAATCTATTTGCATGGGATATTAAGGGCAGTAATAACCTTGTGGGGTGGGGTTGCAGTTGATGTCCCGAGTCCTGCACTGACTCTGCACCTGAGTCCTGCTTACTGCCCAGAAATTCAAAACAGCTTGTTGGCACAGTTTCTCGTTGCACTTTCCTGTTTCTAAATATAAAAAAAATGCTAATTCCTAGGCAGGATTATCTGCATTATTGAGGTTTTTGTGGGTTTGGGTTTTTTTTTCCCCCAAACTGAGAAGTTTATTTTCCAATTTATAAGAGATGAGATTCTTCTCATAATGCACTAGTGTCATCCTAACATAAATATTTGGTTTTGGTGGTTTTCCTCAGGGCTTCTAGACCCAGCCGGTGGGATGGCATGGGGGAATGCAGTTCCCTAGCTGCTAGTTACTCAGGTGTCATAAGAAAGCTTTCAAAGCACCTAGTGTTAAAGAACATGAAACCTATTGCCAATAGATGAGTGAATAAAATCATAGTAAGTAACAATGGGAGAATATTAAAATTTCAGCTCAGGCATACTCTAAGACTACATCAGACTCTTTGGCTGAGGGCATAAAGAAGCAGAAAACCAACCTCCATCTCTGGTACATTAAGAGGAGAGAAAGCCTTAGAGTAAATGCTCATTTCTCACTTGTACAACATATAATACTGGTATTTACTTGAAAAGGCTTTTAAATTGGCTTCTTCAGGGAGCAAGCAATGCATATACAGTAGCCTGCTTTTTTTAAGTAGTCTGATATACTTCAGCACAGATTGCATGAAAGGTTTCAGAAGGATTTAAACAACCTTGAAAAAGGCTCGTATCATTTGTTTTTCTTTTCCCACCCACAGTACTGGTGGCAGACTTTAGTGTTCCCAGGGAACAGAGAACATACAAAAAGTATTTGGCATTACTCTGTGTGTGACATAATGTGCTTCGTCAAGTGTACTCAGTGCCACCAACACGGTGAAAGATCTGCTCAGGGGAGACGATTCACCTTCATCTGGCATTATCGTGTCACCATTGATCAGCACCAGCCACAACACAAGTTCAGCTTTCAGGCTCTTCCTTTCAGGGTTGAAGGCTGAATAATAGATACGCATAAAATATAAATACATTGGTATTTTCAATGTGTTAAAATTCCAGAAACTGCTCTTTAAATAAAAGCTCTGTAGTACAACATGACTTAGACTTTACAAGTGTACACACATGCACAGGTGTCAAGAAATTTAGCTCCATTTCCTACAGCAACTAAATTGCATAACCTGTCTCTCTGGGACGTCTTCTGTTAGTGCATATGTTAATCGCTCTTTTGCCCAGGGACTAAATGTGACCTTGTCTCCCTTCTCTGCAGGGGAAGACGGTGCATGAAGTTTCCTTCGGACTAAATTGGGCAGTGGGCACGGTTGGGGGGACACTTCCTTTGTCAGCAAGGTCAGAATTTTTGCCGCCACATCTAACCCATTTCAGGAGAACTATTAAAAACCAGCAGTTTCTCCCTGGAGGTTTGCTAGGCTTTGCATCACTTTTTTTTGTCCGGTTTGCTTAAGGACTCCTGCAATGGGTCCTCATCCCAGGGATAGTTCCAAGCTGATTCACAGAAACTCTTTTAGGTTTTGGTTGCTGAGGAAAGTCTGTATTACATAGGATGAAGTTTATTATTTGCTTATTTTTTGCATGTGCCTAGATGAATTAGCCCCAAAAGGAGTTGTTGGTAACCCCTGAAGAGTGACCTGACTATTTCAAGCAGGTCAATTGTACCATCCGTGCAGCATTTTGAGGGGAATTGGGGAGAAGCCTGTGTTCGCTTCCACGTTTTTTTGTCTGCTTGAAAAGCTGCAGGACTGCCTGGACCTGTGCTCTCCCGAGAGCCGTTCCTGTAGTGCCGCAGCACTGCAACACTGAACTCTCTCGTGCTGCCCAAGAGGCACGCTGCGTGCAGGCTACCGTGGTCAGCATGCTCACCACTGTCAGCCCTATGCAGGCGAGGGAGATTTTTTTTTTTTTCCCCTTGAGCAACACAAAAGCCCCAGAATCCGTAACTCCCTGTGGCTTTAAAAGAGGATCAGCTTTCCTGGGCAGCAGCGGATTGTGTCCCTCAGCTTCTGCGAGCTCCTGAGGGATGGGTGCCTCGGAGGGGAACGAAGGGCCTGCAGACTGGGACATTCATTGGTCCCAGCAGGACTTTTGTGGGGTGGGGGCACCTTCCTGAATGCCCCCACACTGGGCAACTTCTGGGAACGGACCACGCACGTGCTGGTGTCTCACCCGCCTCAGAGGGAGCGCACAGGGTGCAGGCGTGAGGGTTAATGGCAGCATCGCGCTCGGGAAGCCACGCGGCCCCTGGGGCACCGCTCTCCTTTTGACAACGTCCTGGGATCTGTGAAAAAGCAGCCTGTTTCTCCTGTGTCTCTGAGGGCTTGGCTGAATTTCTAGGTTGCTTCCCCCACCTGCCAGCCTCCAACCCTCCTGAGATGAGCGCAGGAAATGAATAGCAAGAGCGCAGCTGTACACGTTACCGCATCGCTCTGCAGGGGCCACCTCTGCGAAGCAGTAGATCTTGAATGCAGAGCCAGTTTGCCACTTTTATTTCTTTTTTTTTTTTTCCTTGGAGGCGTACACCCTTCGCACTTTTGTATTTTAAACAGGCAGGGGTCTGTGGGATCGATGGACCTAACCCTGTCACTTTGCTTTCCAGCACGCGGTGGTGTGGAAGATGGACCCCGGAGGAGGGCAGAGCACGGAGGAGCCCGGCGGCGGTGACCCCGTCCGGGGGACCCCTCAGGTGCCGTGCAGCAGCTGGTGTTGTGAATCAGGCCGTCACCAGTCGGAGAACGGCTACTTCACAACACCAGGGTCGCACCGCACCACGGTTCGACCGCCGGCCAGAGAGGAGCAGAGGTTCCCGCGGGCAGGCAGGGGATGTGGAACACCTCCTGGCTGCCTCTGCCCAAGCCCAGACCTGCAAAGGTAATCAGGTGCTCAACTCCTATTTAGGCACCAGCCTCCCACTGAAGTCTGAAATAGAAGTTAGGCCCCTAAATATCTCTGTGGGTCTGGCCCCGAGACCCTGCCTTGCTGTGCAGTGCAGAGCAGAGCTTCAGCAGGCACGGGGCAGTGCTGTCAGCAACACGGTCACTGCCTGTTTGCATGCAGTGTGAATGTTAAGGAACGGGTAACTTTTATTAAGCTGTGGCAAATAGTAAAAAAAAACCCAAACAAAAACCCTTTGCGTGTTCCATGTGTATTTCTCCCTGACAGTCATGTCTGTGGTCCTTGCCTGTGACTAGTCCTGATCCCTTACGTATCTAGACACCTGATCACATGTTCTCTGTAAAAGATGCTGTACATACCAGGAAAAAAGCCAGACTCCTTGGAAATGACACTAAAACAGCCTTAGGTGTGTTGTAATGAATGAAGAAGCACCAAAAATAAACAGTGGGATTGTCCAGAAGTGGTACGAACAGCTGCTGTCCTTAAAATAGAGAAAACGTTTGATTTTGCATTGCTTAAGCAGCCCCTCATAAATCATTAGGCATAGAGGGACAGCGAAGCACACTCAAACTAACCCTGTCTGGAGTGGCCTGTAACATATGCCATGCATTTCAGGTCTGAAACGCAGGCTGTTCCCTGCCTCTTCCCTTGCACTGCAACACCAGCATGATGTTAGTTTGAGGGGAGTGGGTTACAGCAGAGTGCTTTCCACCAAACCCGGATCATGTTCACAGAGGTCAGCACAAAGCTGATGGCCGTATACAATCCCTTAAGTCAAACTGAAACACTGTTCAGTTTTGATCTCTGAAAGCAGCCATCTGCCCTTGGACTTGGGATGGGGTTTCCTCTGGTGGGTTTTCCCTTCCTCCCACCCCCCAAGATAGTGTAGCTATATGCTCTTAGGTGGGTGTTGGCTGGCTGTTCTCTTGTATGACATAAACCACTGGAAATGTCTAAAGCAAAGAGTGGAGAAATGTTCAAAGCAAACAATAAAGGTAACAGAACTGATGAGGGATTTTTTTAAGTTTTCTTCATTATCCTAATTCATCTGATTGAAGCTGCCAGTAAAAATGACTTAAATACCATCCTGGATGTATGATTGCTGGCAGGGAGATAGACGTAGGGGAGATTCAGGATATACACAAGATCAGAAATAGCATGGGACAGCCTGGAAATGCAAATGAAAGGAGACAAAGGTGGTTACATTAGACCCATCCTAATCTTTCTATTCAGGTGGGCTTCCTACAGAAGTAACCCTGAATTCCTTCCATAGCAAAAGGTCCACAGCAACGTAAGAGATGTATGGGAGGCTCACTCATACATTAGGAGAGGGCAACCTGTTGATGCAGGCTAGCATTGGGTTGTTTTCATTGATTAGAGGAAAAGCAAGACTGTATTTCTAGTTCAGGCACTATGGCAAGGAGGAGTATGAATCTGTCAACCTAACATGCAAGTCTGTTTTATTAAACTTGTTTTCTGCTAACACAAACCGTGTGCTCTGTGTGGTAGTCTCATTGTTCATTATAACCTTGTTTTAAAGCTCGATACCTTTCACTCCAGGGTTTGTTTCATGGGGTAAATTACACAATTCTTTAGAAACAGGAGGCAACAATGAAATAACCCCAGTAACGCCTGTACACACCGGTTTACGTAGCAGCTATTCATATATAGAACTAAACACAATTTCATCTTCTATTGAGAGCCAGAAACCTGTTTCACCTACTCAGCTTTGTCGGTAAATACGCATAACATTTGAAATAGGTTAATGCTTAATATCCACTGCCAGGTGACCTGATAGACTACTTCCATACTTCTCCAAGTATGATATGTGGAGACAGGTCATTTTCAGTTCCCTTTGTTAAAGAATTTCTCGGGAACATCACACTTCGGAGGTACTTTTGGGGCATTTATTGTACTCCCTGTTTCTAACTTGCATCCATCACACTTTATGCTCTTCTAAAGTGATTTCCTAGCAAATTAATGCATGCCATAATGTAGCACTGCTACTGAAAGTCAAGCACTCCTGCTTGTCATTAAGGAGCCTGATCGTGTCATTTTGTGAGGTGGATTGCAGGCTGAATAGCCAACCATCAGCTTCAGGTGATGGAAGCAATTTCTGTTTGCTCCCTTCAGCAGTTAGAAGTACTTGATGTTAGCATGTGCTGCAGTGAAAGGTGAATGCACAAAATAAATAGTTCAATATGAGTTATAAATTTGTGTGAGTGTTATTCTTAAATAAGCGCCTACAGTTCATGTTCATGTCAACGCCAGTTCTGGCTGCTGAGCTGGAAAAACAGGGGTTCGCTGGGTTTCTGGGCAGCCCCCAAAACGGGAGGCCCTTGCAGTCTGTGGGTATGCCTGGAGAGCTTTCTGGTGCTTTCGAGATCCTTTCTCCTTGTTGTGTACTATTATAAAAAATGGTAGTTTACCCCCCAAAATACCCCATTAGAATTGTTGAAAGGCCTAATTTATAATCCTAATAAAACACTGTGCTCAGCAGTGGAGAAAAAAAAGAGTGAAGTCTATCAAAGCCGAAATGCTGGGCTGTAATCTCTTATGAGATATTTTTAAGGGGTTGTTATTCTGAAAGTGCTTTTTGTATTTAAGCAAATAATATTTCATTTCACCCTTGAACCCTTTAAAATCTAAATCTGATGGGTTTATTTTCTCAGTGCATCCACTTAGTACTATGGCTGTTCTTCAATTATTTTGAATGGCTGTCTTTGTTTCCTTCTTGGGCTCACCAGCAGTGCACATAGCACTTCAGAGAGTAGCATCCTTGTAAATTTTGTTCTCTTTCCCCTGCATGCAAAAGCCAAGCTGACAAGCACAGTAGGGCTCAGCATCTTTCACTTTCTGGGTTCGCATGCACTCTGCTTTGTTATCATGGGGTTCCTCATGAAAAGTGCCATTAACGGATTTCTTTTTCCTCTCTTTAATTGGGCTTCCTCTTTGGCAAACAACTAATATGAAATTAAAATGCTATTTCAGGCAGCATTGCAAAGCAAACAGTAGGTGGGACTGAATTTTGGTACCCACAAACCTGAGTCAGGTTTTATTTCAGTGCTATAAAAGCTTCTCAATAGGAGGGAGAAAATACAGAAACAGTCTTCAGGCATCTTAACACAGTGAGCAAGAGGTGACGCTAAGGAGGAGGAAAAGGGGCTTGTTCACAGCTACTGTTTTAAAAACCAAAGTAGGATTTTGATAGGAAGGCTGATCAGATTAAATAACCTATGAAACTCCCGACTATTTATTCTGTGCTTGGCACTTTGAAATAATTTCTGTGGGACTTGTGCTTTATCCAGCACGTGGCAAAAAGATGGCTGGTGGCAAAGAAAGCAGGAAAACAGAAAAAAAAAGGCAAAACGAACAAACAAAAAGGAGTTGGGAGGGAAGGGACATTGCCGGTGTGCCTCACTACAGCTGCCCACCCCCCCAGCAGCAGCAGCAAGCAAGGCAACGGCAAAAGCGTGAGCCAGAGAGCAAGCACCGCTCAGCTGACAGCACTGAGTGGACATTATCTCACTGTGGGTGAAGCAGCTGTGAAATGTGGGTCTTGGGCAGCAGAGACGTTGTGCTACTTCAGCACTTGATTTCCATAGCCCTGTATGTATTTGCTGTGATTGCTCTGCAGTGAGGCGTGCCTGGTGATGCCTAGCTTGGTCACCCTGTAGTAAATGACTGACAGATTTTTTACAGTTCACAAATGCAAGTCTATATATATTAGATACATATTTTTAGAAAAATCAGAGTCCTCCCAGTCAGGCCTCAAACATGCATGTAAAAGGGGCCAAAGCATCCCCATCGGGCAATGAAGTGGCACCACAAAGAGCATAAAAATCATGAAGTAAGGCTAAATAACCATTTCACTCAAAGGTTGATGTAAACAACGGAAGAGAGTAAGCAGTCTCTGAAGATCACATAAACTACTCAGAGAAGTTTTATAACCCATTCTCTAAGGATATTCTCCCTGCTTAAAAGCCAAAGCAACGGAGACTTTGCTGTGTCATACTCCTTGTCTTTATGTATATTCCAAAAATTATGATGCTTCTTTGACAAATGGTTGCCTCTGTTCTTTAACAAGACTAGTTACACATGCCTCAGTAAATGAGTTTTTACGTTGCATTTGATTAGACTTAGTCCTCCAACCATGCAGTAGCAGGAAAGAGCTGCCCACGTGTGCAAGCTTAATGCATGCAGCTTTCACCACCACAGAGACCGTTTTGAAAAAAACGTACAGAACAGCCCAGCCAGACACTCTGCTGCCTGCTTCATGCCAGGCAAACTCCTCTGCTCCCAGGGGGACACGGGCACTATGCTGGATGCTGGGAGGGAGGCTGGGACCAGGCGCCCATCCCTGTGCCACTGCAGCTTTGTCCCCCTCTGCTGCTCTGTCCGCAGAGTCTGGGGAAGGGGCTTGGGATGGGCTGGTTCGTTCCTGGCCTGGGACAGCACAAAAAAGCAGAACGAGGAAGAGACCTGAGGTCTGTATTAATATTTTGAGTGCATGGCATCAGTTAAAAATTTTGGCAGTTTGGGAAGAAACGCCCAGTTCCAGAGAACTCTTTGGCATATGTCAAAACTCAACATCCAAATACATTGTCCCCTGTATGCCTTTAGTGAAGTGGTTATTAAGATGACTAAACCTGTATTTTAATTCCTTCCTTTGCATAGGGGTCTTATGGCCTGAACTCTTTCTACCCTGGTCTCCCTGCCATTTGGGATGTGTGGCTGGGGTAGCACGTGTGTCCCTGGGCTCACCAGGAAAGCCAGCAGCTCCTCTGTGTGAATAGCAGCCATGGACTGAAGCGGCTGATAACACTGCAAATTACATTTCATTTCCAAAGCTCCGGCTGAATTTCATAGCCACAGAGATGCCAGATCAGGTGGAGGTCTGAGGAGGCAGCTCTTTGTGCTG